CTGCAACATGTTCAATTTGACATGTTTCGCATGTTGTTTCACTTCACATTCGAAATTAAGCTTTGATATATAGACAAATATGAAGATGAAGAAATAAATGCTAACGATGAAGTCAAAAAAAGAAGAAAAAAGTGAAGATAAGGACGAAAATGGAGACAATGATGGATAAATAAGAATTAGGGTAATTGAAAGGGTAAGAACATTTCTTGAATTTATGAAGTGAAACTTCTTTAGCGGCAGTTGGTTGGTTGGGAGTAAATTGTCAAATTCAAGGGGAATAATGCACATGGAAATAGTTCTCAGCGGTTTAGCGGTTTGAGAATAAAAACAAAAACAAAGATGCCTAGAGGTACAGGCAAAAACGAAGATCAAAGTAAATTTAAACACTTTAAGGTAAAGGTGAAGAGGAATATGCAAAAATAAAGATAAATATGAAGAAAAGGATGAGGATGAAGATCGATATTGTTATCGATATAAAACTCGATATTTTTATCGATATAATAATCGATATTGCTATCGATAAAATAATCGATATTGTTATCGATACTGTTATTGATTAAATAACCGCTATTGTAATCGATATAATAACCAATATAATAATCGATATTGTTATCGATACAATAATGGATATTGTTATCGGTATAATAATCGATTAAATAATTGATTTTGTTATCGATTTAGTCATTTATATTGTTAACGATATGTACAATAATCGATACTGAAGATTGTTGTATTTATCGATGAATTAATCGATTTTACAATCGTTGTATTTTTCTATCTTTATGGATATTGTTATCGGTATTTTTATCGACACAGTTATCAACAGGGTTATCGATATACTAATCGGAACATGGAATGTGATCACATTACATGACATCACATCACATTTTATCACATGATATGAAGAGACATCACATGAGTTTACATCACATAATATGATATCACATCACACGATATCACGTGACATGACATTATATGATATGACATCACATTATATGGCATGACATCACATGACTTGACATCACATGATATGACATCGTATGACATGACATGGCATTACATGACGTGGCATCACATGATATGACATCATATGGTATGACATCAGATGACATGACATCACAGGATATGACAACACATGACATGACATCCTATCACATCACATAAAATCACGTCACATCTTATCACGTCATCGCACCTCATCTCATCTACGTGAATAGAAAAAGAAAAGGATATAAGCAAAGATGTGAAAGATAAAAACAAAGATGAAGACCAAGGTAAAGTTACCGATTTCAAAACCAAAAACACCGTTGGAAAGGTAATTTTCTGTAGATGAGGAGAGTTTTTATAGTTTCAAAATTGGTTGAAAATCGTCGTTTAAAAATTTCCATATTGTGTATGGTTGTTTTGCAACCTGTTCCATTTAAGCTGTTTCGCATTTTGTTTTACTTCGTATTTGAAATTAAACTTTGAAATAAAGATAAATCTGAAGACGAAGAAACCAGTGATAACGATGAAGACAAAAAAAGGCAAAAGTGAAGATAAAGACGAAAATGGAGATAAAGGCGAAAATGGAGACAATGAGAAATACATAAGAATTAAGGTAACAGAATTGAAATTTTCCGATAGGAATCGAAATAAAATCAGCCATAAAGGTTACTGAAATTGATCGAATCGTAAAAGTTTATAATTATAGAAATTTATCCATGCTTATTAAGTTATCGCAACGTATCGAATTATTCAAACTGATCAATGTTTATTGAGTTGTCGAGATTGAGTATAGACACAGAAACGTAGTTGTCCAAGTTTACGGATAGTTATCGAGCTATAAAAACGTGTGGGATTAACGAAATTTGTCAAGTTAAAGAAATGTATCAAGTTATCGATATTTATTGAATTATCATTATATATAGACTTAACGAAATTTATCGAGGTGTCGTAATTCATGGAGTCCTTTCAACAGAGTCATCGATAATTATTGATCTACTGAAATTGGTTGGTTCAACGAATCGAAGTTTATGGAATTTTCAAAATATATCGATTTATCGAAATTTCAAGGTTATATAAGCTTATCGATTTATCACTGCTTATCGAATTTTATCGTGTTAACAGAGTGTAACGAGTTATCAAAATGCTTAGATAGTTTTCGAAAAATGTGGAGCTGTCAAAAGTAAAAATTTATAAAGGTATCCAAAGAATTTACATATTTGAGTTATCGAAATTTATCGAGCCCTCGCACTTCACAGTTATCGAAGTTGATCGAGTTAACGAATTTTGTTGAGTTATCGGATTTTAGTGTTCTTGAAATTCATCGAACTATCGATATGTATCAAATCATTGAAATTTATCGATAAACTTGAATGTATCGGGTCAATTCCAAGTCCTGCCGAAGTCCTGCAAAGACCTTTACAGATAAAGAAATTTTAGTTACGTTTTAGTTCCAAAGCAGAAGATTTTCCGGCTGGTTAATTTGTACCGTATAAGTTTTGCACGTGTTAAGTTAGAAAACCTCTCCAAGGCTTCTAAAACTTGAAAAACTGTCGAATTTCGACAGTAACTGGCACTCTAGTATGCTTAATTTGTTAAATGGCCCATCAAGTCGATTAACCGTGTATGTTCTTGTGGTGTGATTGTACCAGCTGCTGGTGCGACTTAAAAAATTATTTGAAAATTTTATGATTGTACCAGCATGCTGGTGTCGTGAGTGGTGAAATTAGCTCAATTTTCGAAGTAAAATGATTTTTTTTTGGCGGAAATTGCTTGCACCAAATGAGTCAAAGCCGTGTTTGTGGAAGATTAAGTTCACGATATTGCAGATGTGAATTAAAAAAAACAAGGCTTAACAAAATGGTAGAAAAATTACGAAATTTCGGCTCTAGTCATTTCGATCTTTCCTGGACCTCATTTGTAAACAAATAAGTATTGTACCAGCCTGGTAAGTTATATGATTAGAGCCTGATGGTACAATCACTTGAAGGAGCCAGCAAGCTGGTGTCATATATTTTCCCTTTTATACAAAAAGTTCTTTTGGTTGGATAAAATATTACCTTTTTTTGCCAGAGTTCATTGTTTTTCTATACCATTACTTATTGAAAATGTTTGTGAGTGTACTTATATATGTGTATGTAAGTAAAAATTTTTAGCTACCATTTTTAGTCACAACGCCTTTTTTAGCTCTTTTTTAGCCCTTTTTTTGAAGGAATTTGGCTACCACTAAAAGTGATTCGCGGCAACACTGCTGCCAAGGACGCCACCAGTCTGACTCTCGAACAGACAAACTACTTTCGTAGACCACTTCAACACTTGTACAACGAAATGGATTATAATAGGGCTATTCGCGATTCGGTGCATAAGAGCTGACAAATTTATGCAATTGCAGAAATATGCCATGGATTGTGAGCGACCTTTATTAAACTGTCATGGTAAAGCTTTTGCAAAACAATCTTTGTGCATCAGCTTTGGTTTTGTTTATGAATGCAATGCATAGCATTTTTATGCTATGGATTTTCGGTATTGCAAATTTGCCAAGCCATGACAAATGCAAATGCGTGTATTTTGTTTGTGTATTGCAAATAATTTGCAATACAAATTTGCAATGCAATGATGCTAGGCCATTTGCACCGGATCGCGAATAGCCCTAATATGATTTGGGAGTTCAGGGCTATGTAAGTAAACGGCAGAAGCAACTAAACCCGTTTCTTGTTACGGCTATCAAAGGAAGACTGCAGAGTAATTACCGAATTGCTCATGCACTAAAAATGGATATCACTAGCGTGGACAGCTGCAGGAAGTGTCGTAAGCGGGAGACCAGGGAAAGCTTGGAGCATCTTCTCTGCAGATCAAGAACACGACTGAAATGCTTGGGAGCCTACCAATTCGAGAAGTTAGAGGACATGTCAAAAGTAGGGCTGAAATTTCTTCGAATTCGCAAAAAGTGTTGATATCCTTTGTGATGTCTACTTTAACGCTAAGGACCTACCGGTCTATGTGCAGCTTAACGCCGGCCAGATTAATCTAAGCCAGATTCAGTTTTTATGAACTCATTAAATATAACCCTCTCTATATTTGCTCTAGTGCAATACGACCTTAGTAGGATTTGTTTTCTTAGTAACAAACATAAGAAACTATTACACAAGCCAAAAAAATTTATACAATGTTATGTTGACTAAAATATTACAGACGATTCTTATAGGATTTTACCCGTAGAATCCGTATCTGACCCTAAAGGTATTAGATTGGCTCTAGTTTTCGAGCAACTCAGGTCAACTAAGGATCGGCTGTAATATTTTAGTCAACATAAATTTTGTTTGCCTGTGTTATGTTCTCTTAGATGAAGGTTTGAGCTTCAATTTCAACCTCAGAAATTTCCAGCGTCTCAGATTAATTTAACACAAGTGATCAAAACAGGCAAAACAAGAGTAAAAAAAAAATCGTGCGTACTCGTGTAAAAAAAACTGTTTTCTATTTCTTTCAGTGTTCGGACTGTAATTTTTTGATTTTGAGTATTAAAAGGCAGTGATTATAATTCATGTTCTAAACGTGTTACAGTTCGGACGTGTTTTCTCATCGCACCGCTTTGTGCGCTAATTTACTAATAATCCAGGTAACTTTTATCTATCGGTGCTGGTATGGTGCTTATATTGAGACTGTTACTACGTTAATACGCACAGAATAATCGACTTAATTGAAAGCGCATTGACACCGTACACATTTCGCTCTGGTGTTTATACTTACGGCTTTATCTCGGCATCAAAGTAACCGTCTTCAAAAGCAAACAAAATTAGCTGTTTTCATTTGACATTTTATAAGTTAACACAATGGAAAGTGATACAAATCTTGTTTTATTCGGAATTATAAAATCGTGGCAAAGAAAAAGAACGATTATTATTAATTAGCTTTTAAATACTGATGCGATTATTTGGAATTTGAGCGGAACAGCTGATCTCCAACTCGCTTTGACTGAGAGCGGTGTTTATGCACTCTTTCTTACTACGTTTATACGCATGCGTAAGTCGCTTTCATTTATTTCGCCGCGATTCAAAACATATGTATAAACTGAATTTCAATTCGCTTTGAAAGAGCGAAG